TGTCCTATTTCCCCATTATTTCTGTCCTTGCTTCTTCAACTAAGCATTATGCAAAACTCAAATTTTTTATATATTCTCTACTGACTACATTGTAAGACAGCCTTTTTAAAAAAGAGCCTCTAAAACACACAAAAGCAGGGAGAATGAACTACTAAGTCCTTATGTACTCAACACTCAGCTCCACCAGTTGTTAACTGGACTCAACTTCAGCCGCACCCATCTCCCAGCCTCTTCTCACTTCCTACATGATGTTGAATCAAATCCCAGACCTCATAACTGAATGAAATTTCAGAAGCAGGTGAATATATCGTCTCTACCCTTCTAGATACAAAGCCAAATTCCTAACATCCAATTTTCTTCTTGGTAAAAATAAATAAATAAATAAATAAATATTTCAAAAAAATTATCCTTTCCCCAACCTCTCCTGATATGTTCATCTTCCTCCTCTACTCTTTTGTCTCTCTCTCTCTCCTCTTTCCCTTCCTTCCTCTTCCCTCTTTCCACTTTTTAAAGTTAATTATTCTTCTTCTTCTGTGATCCAAACTAATTTCCCCATTCATAGTTGCAGTTGCTTGATACAAATCTCTCCATTTTTAACCACAAGAATATGTTTTGTGAAAATGTCAGAACTTACCCATTTATAGTCCCTTAATGAGTTTGGAGAAAGGGATTTTTTAACAGGTCCCACAGTCCTGGACCCTACCTCAGGGAATGGAAACTGACTACACTATAATGCACAGTGGGGAGACATAATCAATGAAAAGACTCCATTCACAGTGGCAACTGGAACTAAGTTGTGCACATTATTTTAACTGGACCAAACTCTAAAACCCAATGACATTGAAGATGTATTTTTAGACCATTGATAAGGCACTGGGCTTTTACGTCAGTGGGACTGAGTCATGGGGGTGGTTTTCCAGAAAGCAGGCTGGGATGGTTTTGAAATTGCTAGTGTGCACAGGAATTGTGCACAGGCAGAGTGCATCCAACATTCAGGAGGGAAATACAGATAACTTGGACAAAATGATATGATCTCAGAGTCAGTGTCAAATTCTCATGGATTTTGCTTGCTTTTTTTCCGATATCATATTTATGACTTGTACACTGTAACAGAACAAGAAGTCCTAGACAAACAGATAGCATGGACTTGGGTACTTTGGGACACCTACTATGTTCCTCGCATCACAAACTGATTTCTTCCCTGGGAAGTTGTGGGAGGTTTGTGTACCCACCCATCTCTCCATTGCTTTCACCTATATCATGATACTGAACTTTACCTAGCAAGGGACTGTGGTAATTCTTGTACCCTCAGCCTGGTAAAGGAACTTGTAACTGCTGAATTTTGCTGGGCTTACTTGTCTAGACCGACTGGAGCCTTGAAAGGGAGCATTTTATTTCTCTAGCTCAAAACTCAGCTTGCAGGTCTGGGCCAGCAGTCAGAGAGGGCCCAAGAACACTTTGTGAAGTGAGGAAATACAGAAATCCTTTGACAGAACCGAAGCACAGCTTCTTGGAGTTCGGGTTTACTTAGGAAGTTGGCATTTATTGCCTCTTTTGGTCTCTACTCTTGGTGGTTCTTGGAAGTATTTTTATTTGCCTTGTAGATTTAATGTGATCATTTTCCTTATCACATCCCAGTGCAGTGTCAGGGTCTTTGGGGTTTTCAACACAACAATCTTCTTTTTTTCTTTTTTAATTTATTCTTTTAAGGAATACAAATTCCATAAGTACAACTTTAGGAATATAGTCATTCTTCCCACCATACCCGCCTTCCCACTCACACTCCCCTCCCCTTTCCTAGTCTCATTCTCCATTAAGATTCATTTTCAATTAACTTTGTACACAGAAGATCAGCTCTATACTAAGTGAAGATTTCAACAATTTATACACACACACACACACACACAGAGAACTAGTTTTACAGTTAACTTTCATAATACAATTCATTGAGGACAGAGGTCCTGCATGGGGAGTTAGTGCACAGTGACTCCTGTTGTTAATTTAACAATTAACACTCTTATGTATGATGTCAGTGACCACCTGAGGCTCTTGTCATGAGCTGCCTAGGCTACGGAAGCCTTTTGAGTCCACAAACTCCATCAATATTTGGACAAAGCCATAAGCAAAGTAGAAGTTCTCTCCTCTCTTTAGATGGCCACTTCCTTCTGCTGGGGTCTCATTCACAGAGATCCTTCATGCAGATCATTTTTTGCCACAGTGTCTTGGCTTTCCTTGCCTGAAATGCTCTCACAGGCTTTTCAGCCAGACCAGGAAGACTTAAGGACTGATTCTGAGGTCAGAGCAACACAACAATCTCAACCTCTCCAACTGCTGTTAATGTGCTAATGTGTTCTCCTTTCTATGTTCAAGGGGGTTTTGCCTTAGAATTTCAGGCTTATAGGGCCTATGTCATGGTGCAGCAGGTTAAGCCACCATGGAAGGTGCCACCATCCCATCTCAGCACTGGTTCCAGTCCTGTGTGCTCCACTTCTGATCCAGTTCCCTGTGAATACCTCCAGAAGAGCAACCACAGTGGAAACCTGGATAGAAGTCCTGGCTCCTGGCTTAGGCCTGCTCCGGCCCTGGCCATTGTGACCACGAGGGAATGAAGTAGAGGACGGAAGATCTATCTGTCTCTTTCTCTCTCCCTCCCTTCCTCCCTCTCTGTAACTCTGCCTTTCACATAAATAAATAAATCTTAAAAGAAAAATTTCAGGCTTAGTGTATTAAGTCTACTCACTACTCACGAGAAAGTGAGCAGTGCTGTTTATCCACAAATATTAAAGAATGGCTCCTGGGTTTTAGTTGAAGATGTAAGGTTTCAAATGATGCAGAAAAACTCCATGTAAAGTAGTGCTCTAGGCAATCGCACCCTGCTGTGTGTGTGAAGGGGGAGATGCCGGAGGAGGCCGGAGTTCACACAGCCACTACCTTTCACTGTGTAGTGTTTTCAGTAGTCTGTGAGTAGCAGAAACCTTATTACATGAAGGCAGACTTTAGAGAGTTGACATGTAGCTGGTATTTTCAATAGTGTGAGAAATATCAAGCTGACATTATGCTGTCTCTGTGATGAATGCTGCAAATGCCAGGGTACAGGGGCTTATTCATGGGACTCCAGTGCCTCAGGATAGTGTCAATTTAAAAGACATTCACACAGACTTCTTTATTTAAACATGTTAAATGAAGGATGAAGAGCAGGTTCAGAAATCAACAGAGAAAGGAAGAACAGAGGAGCCATATTGACATGAAAATTGTAAATACAGTAATTGTTTGCTGTAGGTTTACATCAATTTCCGGGCACCCCTGGCGGACCCTGGCGTGCCTGCCTCCCCAACACTTCCGCCAAGCTGTCACCTTGCTGTGCATAGTATTTCACTATCAGTTATGTTGATTTTGGAAAATTAAAAATATTCTAAGAACTCTTCCATTAATTTGTAGTTTATATTTAATGAATAAATCAAATAACAAAATTAATATTTTCCCACCACTTTTAAGAGTAACGTTGGACTTCAAACTAAGACCAAATAACTTAGGAATATGTTAAATTAAAAATTTATTCTTAAAAAATTTATTCTTTTGTTCACTATTCTCTCAGTTAATGATGGATCTGAATGGCTGCTATTTTGGAAATAACTCAAAGGAGTTTTTTTTTTTTTGTTTGTTTTTAAACAAATTGGTCACATCAGAGATAATTATGAGTTTAAATAAACCTTCTCTTTCCAATTATGTGCACAGCAGTGCTGCTAATTACTTAGGGTCACTGAAATCCCATGGCATCCTCAAACCATTCTCTCTGCAGGCCATGTTGTCAGATTTCCTTTCTATTCTCGGAAACCCAGTATCATTTCCCTTTTCAAATCCCTCCACACCCCCCCTTTTTTTTAACCACAGTGAGAATGATGATGATGATGTAACATGGATTTGGAGTCCCCAAATCAGCCAAGTTTGTTCTTCCGGCTTCCACAGGTCAAAATCAGGAGAAACTGAGTAGCCACTTTGATTTATCGCTTGAAATACTGTTTTTGATATAAACAAAATTACGGGACCTCCCGGAGCAGGGCCAGCTGCTTTTAGGGCTGCAACATTTGAAATCGGTACTTGGGAAGAAGGAAAAAAAAAAAAAAAAAAAAGGATAAGCCACGCACGCTGGAAAGCAGGAGCTCCCATCAGCTCGGGGCCACGCCTGCACACGGTGGGTTTCCAGCTCTGTAACCCTATTAGCATGGCTCAGATCCCTCCACTCAGGTGCTGGGGTCCAGGAGGCTCATCTTCACTTTAAGCTTCAAGAGCCACAGTCACACACACTCATTGTGCTTTGCACGCATTGAGTATGACAAAATCAAAAACTCAGAGAAAGCAGCCTTTACTCTCCAGGACACCTCCTCCCCGCAACCCCACCAGGGCCAAGGAGCACCGCCGGCTGAACGCACCTGAGGAATGGGGGACGTTAGGACTTGGCGCACAGCTGCCCAGGAAGTCCAGGGCTGTCCCTTTTGCACCTGTTAAGGTTCCTGAGCCGGGACCCCCTCCAGGGCTCCAGGGCTCCAGGGTCTCCCCAACGCTTAGTGCAACCCCCAGCGGACAAGGGTCCATCTCATCTGCTGCTCATTTATTTTCCCGTTTGTTTTTTCTCTCCTATCCACCAAGTTCCTCTGGACCCTTGAGTCCCCAGCCCAGCAGAACCTAGGCAGGGCATGGGTCTGGGGGGTGTGTTGCAAGCATGGAGCTGAGACTTTGCTGGGAGACCTCTCTCGGCAAAGGAGAGCCGCGAGCGAGCCAGGCGATCTTCGCAGACCCAGGTGTGGGGCTTCAGAACTCACAGAGAAAGCCCAACCCAAGGGGCTGAAGCTAGCGTCTGGAGTCCGGAGCCGAGGTCTGGGGCGGGGCTTCTGAACGTGGCCGCCCCGCCCCCGTCGCCGGCTGCGGTGGCCAGGGGCGCCCCCCCGTGGCCGCTGGGTCGCACTGCTCAGGCTCGCAACGGAACGGGAAGTGCCGAGCCGGCCGGGCTGCGCGGCCATGGCAGAGTCGATGCAGGAGGAGCTCTCGGCCTTGGCCGCGATCTTCTGCGGGCCCCACGAGTGGGAGGTGCTGAGCCGCTCAGGTGACTACCCTCGCGCGGGCGGGACGAGGCACCCTCCGGACGGGGCCTCCCTCTGCCTTCGCCTCTCCACCGCTGAGCGTGGGCCCGCAGCCGGGGGCGCGGAGAGTCAAGTCCGGAGGAGGGATGCGCACCCCGCGGGGCCTGCAGCGGCGTGGGAGCAGGCTGGAGGGGAGGCCCGTCTGCTTGTCCTGCGGGTCTCACCTGAAATGGAGGCCTCTGGATAGCCCCTGCCCGCCCTGAAGTCCAGCACTCGCAGAAGGCTATGTGTCCTTCGTAAGCACTGTGCGTTACGCCGTGGAGACGGTTTTAACTCCACTAGTATTTGTGTACACAGTAGAGGTTTGTTGAGTGACTATTTTGACCCACCTGGTGCTCCAGTCCAGCCTGGTCTGCTTTGCGTTACCAAGTAGATTGCCTTGTTCGTACTTGTCTAGTGGGCGGGAACCGGGCTGCCGGTCACAGACTTTGGGGGGCGCCTTGATCCTTAAGCCCACGTGTGTTGAATTCTACAAACCTTGACCTGCATTGCCCTTTCGTGTAAGAGCTGATGGTCCAGAAAGGTTCTTTTGACTCATTTTTTTAATAGTCTGTTCCCATGAGAAAGTACAGTGATGCAAATAGTTCTGAACTTTATTTAGCTTTCTTTTGAAATTTATTTTTAATTTTTAAAAAAGATGTATTTATTTAATTGAGAGGCAGAGTTACAGAGAGCAGGAAGGACAGAGAGAGAGCCTCCATCCACTTGTTCACTCCCCAGGTGGCCACAATGGCTAAGCCTGGAGATCAGGAGCCAGGAGCTTCCTGCGGGTCTCCCACGTGGGTGCAGGAGCCTGAGGACGTGGGCCCTCCTCCACTGCTTTCCCAGGCCATAGCAGAGAGCTGGATCAGAAGTGGAGCAGCTGGGACTCCAACCTGGCCCATATGGGATCCCCCCACTTTCAAATATACTCTGCATTTGAGTAGGCATGGTATGTATCTTCTCATGTTGAAACCGGTATTGAAATTGTCCTTGTGAGCATGAATTGACTGCGCTTTAAGAAGGCAGTGTGCAATGAGGAGAGCCCCTGTGACTGAGAGAGTTCCCCAGTGTCCCTGTGCCATTATTCACCCACAGAGCAGGAGCTAGCCCCTTGTGGCGGGTTTCTTCTTGCAGTCACCGTGCATACACGTATACCGACTACTGTTACGTCCCAGGTACTGCAACCCTAGCCCTGTTCTTTCCAGTGCCCAGCCTGGCTTAGAGTCCTTTTAAAAAATTTTTTTTTAATTTTTAAAGATTTTATTTATTTATTTGAGAGGTAGAGTTACAGACAGAGAGAGGGAGAGAGAGAGAAAGGTCTTCCATCCTGGGCTGATCCAAAGCCAGGAGCCAGGAACTTGCTCTGGGTCTCCCATGCAGGTGCAGGGGCCTAAGGACTTGGGACATCTTCTACTGCTTTCCCCTTGCACATCAGCAGGGAACTGAATCAGAAGAGAAGCAGCTAGGACTCCAGCTGGTGCCCATGTGGGATGCTGGCGCCGTCGGTGGAGGATTAGTGTACTACACCACAGCGTCCTTAGAATCCTCATGGAAGGGTTTACTGAGCGTCACCTGCCTTGTGTCTGGATAGCATTCCTAATTGCTCGGCATCCCCCTCCCTGTCTTGGACACTCTTCACATTGGTAACTGCTTCCGCCCGAGGCAGCTATTTGAAGACATCATGAGTTCTCCGAAGTTCCTTTATGATGGCTCAGTTGGGAGCATCCTGGAACCATGGGCCTGCACTTTCCCCTCACACCTTATAGAGGGTGGTGTGGTGGCGGCCTGGCTCTGGAGCACATGGACTGAGTGTGAAACTCAGCTGCTGGGTCGGAGAGACCATACCAAAAAAAAAAAAAAAAAAAAAAAAAAAGCTTAGAGTAGTTTCTTAGTATTGTGAACAGTGTGGACCCTTTATCTGCTGCTAAATTGAGCGTGGATTTGAAGCCAGGCCTCGTAATTAATTTAATTCAGTGTTCTGGCATCAGTAAGTAATTGAATTATAAAAGAATTCAGTGTAACAACTTAGGGTGTCTTGTTGCTGAGCGGTTTCTCTGCAAGGTAGAGCAATTTCAGTGGTTGGAATGGGACGATTTGATGCTCGCAACTGGGAATTAAGGGTCAGGTGAGGGTTTCTCTACAGACCGCAGTGAGCGTGTGCTCACTGTCAGTGTATCTCGCAGGGTCACACTGAGTCCCACCCGTTCCTTCCTGGCCTCCCCCAGATAAGCACTGGAGTCTGGAGACCATTTAGGCGGGATGGCACTTCTGGTGACAAGAAAGTCCAGGAAGGCTCAGGCTGCTGACGCAAGGGTCCACGGTTAAGGGCGTCTGATCAAGGAGGCTGAATAATCGGAGTCTGTTGTAACTGGATTCATGAATGCAAAGAATTTGAGGGGCTTTATCTACATTTCTGTCTTTATAGAAGTAATAGTAGGCCAGCGCTGCGGCTCACTAGGCTAATCCTCCGCCTTGTGGCGCCGGCACACCGGGTTCTAGTCCCAGTCGGGGCGCTGGATTCTGTCCCGGTTGCCCCTCTTCCAGGCCAGCTCTCTGCTGTGGCCCAGGAGTGCAGTGGAGGATGGCCCAAGTGCTTGGGCCCTGCACCCCATGGGAGACCAGGAGGAAGCACCTGGCTCCTGCCATCGGATCAGCGCGGTTTGCCGGCCGCAGCACGCCGGCCGCTGCAGCCATTGGAGGGTGAACCAATGGTAAAGGAAGACCTTTCTCTCTGTCTCTCTCTCTCTCACTATCCACTCTGCCTGCCAAAAAAAAAAAAAAAAAAAGAAGTAATAGTAAACTCACAGTAAGAGGCATCTTTGGTAATCACTTCTTAGCAGTGGGGATTATGTAAGTCCTCACACTGCTGTGTGTGACTGAGGCTGCCTGTAGACCTACTCAGGGCTATTCTGTCCTACCCGGTGCAGTCTGTGCAGGTGCCAGCTTCGGTGTAGTCGCTAACCATGTACCTGGTAACTGTAAATACATCCTACTTGATGAAGCCTACTCCTGGCCCCGGTTTTCAGACCAGGTAGCTGATGCTCCAACTGGCGAATAACCAGCAGGCTTCCAGAGCACGTGGGCCTTCACATTGCATCACGTTCCTGTGTAGAAATGGGGCTGCTGCATCAGCAAAACTCTCCTTAGAGAGCAAGGCAGCCCTTGTCCAGAAAGCAAGAGCAATAACACGCGTGCAGAGAAAAGGGGTGGCTGTACCCAAACCTGTGCTCAGAACAACGCTGAAGGGGTGTGTGAGTGTGTGTGCGTGTGTGCGCAAACCCAAAGGTGCCTGAGGTTGATATGTTATATGTGTGTATTTTCCTGGTGGGAGAATTGAGGGTCATGGAGAGCATCTTTCTGTAGTCAAAGCTTATTGAATGCAGTTGTGTTTCTGTAAATCATCTTGCAAATCCCAAAGTTGCAAAATGGGAGGTGGTGGAGAAAACCTCCTGAGAGCTAACAGGCTTGCACAGCGATTTCAGAGTGAGTTGTGCTAATGTTGAGATGGGATTGGGCCCTCCTGCACCATGAATTGTGGTGATCTCACGTTGGCCCCTCTGAATCTTCTCGGCTCTGTTTCTTGCTGCCAGTACTCCGCTCATCTCGGCAACACCCATTCAGCCTTGAAACTTCATTTCTACAGGAGGACACTGCCGGTTTTAGCTTCATTTAGTTTTAGTTTTTTTTTTTTTCCTTCTGTGACCACATTTTAAGAACATGTAAAATCCAGCTGACGTGTAAAACGGGCACTTATGTGTGCAGCCTGTGGCAAGCTGCCTGGGGTGCAAGATGAAAGAAACCCCTGTCCCAAGCAGGGGGCAAGGGTGTGGGGGCTTTGGCGTGGGCTCCTGCACAATGGCTTACTTTGAGGACTGCATTTAGTATGTGGGTGACTTCTTTTTAAAGTTTTTTAACTGACAGAAAGGTTTGTACATATTTATGGAGTGCTATGTGATATTACAGTACATGCATACATTGCGTAACATCCAATCTGGGTAAACATATTGATTGCCTTGAACATTTACCATTTCTCTGTGGTAAAAACATTCAAAATTCTTTCTTCTAGCTTTTTAAAAGGAACATATGTGGTGCATTCTCATTATTGATAGTCACCTTCCTGTGCTGTAGAACATAAGGACTTCTCACTCCTCTCCAGGTGTGTCTTAGTGCCTGTTAAGGAATCCTTCCTTATCCCTTCCTCTCCGCTAGTCTCCTTCGCTTCTGGTACCCAACATTATAATCTCAATTTCTATGAGATGAACTCTTTCAGATTCTACCTATGAGTGAGATCATGCAGCTCTTATCTTTCTGCACTTGGCTTATTTTATTTAACGTGATGGCCTCAAGTTCTGTCCATGTTATTGCAAAGGACAAGATATCATCTTTTTTTTAACTGTCTGGGTAGTATTAACTGCATATGTGTACCACATTTTAGCCATCCTTTAGATAATGAGCACTTAGGTTGCTTCCATTTCTTGGTTATTGTGTAGTGAAAATGGGAGTGCAGATGTCTCCTCAACAGACTGATTTCATTTCCCGTCTAGGTACCCAGTAGTGGCATTGATGGATCATGTGGTATTTCTAGTTCTTAGATTTTTGTGGAAACTCCATCCTGTTCTCTATGGTGGCCGTACTAATTTACATTCCCACCAGCAGTGTGTAAGAGTTCCATTTTCTCCACATCCTCACCAATTTTTTTTTGGTTCTTTTTTTTTTAATAGCCAATCTAACTAGAATGAAAAAATATCTCATTGTGGTTTTGATTTGCATTGCTTTGATCATTAGGGATGTTAAGCAACAGGATGTACCTGTTGGCCATTGTAAATGATTTCATAATGGATTCTAAATGCATCTTGAAGAGCCCATTCTCTTATCTTTTATTTACCTTTTTTAGCAGCTTTTATTGCTGGAGTACATTTATTGAGTTTATTCTGTGTGTTCTAGACTGCAGTAGAATGAAATACTAAAAATGTATTAATGTGGAATTTGGTATTCAGTTCAGTTGAATTTCTGTTGTCCAGGGTGGTTAGGAACCTAATTGCTTTCCTGTATTTGAAATGAAGGATGGAATTTGAAACCAATTTGAGTTTGTGTTTTAGTTGTGAAATGGATACACTTAAAAGGCAGACTGGCTTAAAAAAAACACCTATGAGTATGTATATACATATACATACACACACGTGTACACACACATATGCACATATAGACTTCAACCAGAGGGCCAAATGTACATATTTTGGTAGAGTCTTTAGAATCGATGAAAATAGCCTTGCAACTCAGGACAATTTTAGTTTCCTAGGGCAAGCATAAGTTTTCTAGGGCATAGATGTTTATGGAGAATAATGAGTTAAACTTAATAACTTGAGTTTTGGGGGCCAGGGTGGAGCAGAGATTAACATCAGGTTTAGAGCACCATTGCTTTCCTGTTAATTGCTCTGTTTTTGAGCTGTTAATAGCTTTCAAGCAGTTAGAGGCAACTTTGTTTTCCTTTTTATTAGGCAAAAAACCAAACCAAAACAAAAAACCCTAAACCAAACCAGACCAAAACCTCACCAACAGAGATCATATTTATAGTGCATGTGTTATGTGAACATTTCTAAAACCAAAATCCATTTCATTGCTTGTACAAATTAGGGCCAAGGAGCAATGAAGGAGTAAGATATGTCGATATTCTAGAGTTTTAGGGAGAAAGTGAGTTTTTAAAAGAGGGTGTAACTTTATTACCACACTAAGTAGCAGCTGACTGCTGTCTGTTACTGGGCATCTCATTTTCTTACAGAGATGGCTTTTTCTGTAATTTTAGTTTGCAGCTACAGTGGGTGTGTGAGAGACAGGCGTTCACCAAGAACATTGATTAGGCAGGATATTAATCCTGGCCAACTCTTCAAAGAATTAAAGTAGTTTTTCTTTTCAACATACATCGTAACTAATAGTTTCACCATTTTTCAG